CTACTCTAATGTCACGGTCACACAAACAGATGTCAGCCATTGATGGACAGGTCCATCAATACCGTAATTCCTCATCTTAAAAAGCAGCTTTCTGTGGGGCACGGTGTCGAAGGCTTTCGAGAAGTCTAAGACTATGACGTCCGTTGGCGTGCCTTCATCATGGTTCTTTAGGAGGTCATGCGTTGTTGTGATAAGCTGCGTTTCACAAGAGTAACCGGCCCTGAAGCCATGGTGTAGTTTGGTTAAGATCTTGGTTCCGTCTAGGTGGTCGAGTATGTGTTTACATATAATATGCTCTGGGATTTTGCACGAGACGCATGTTAACGACACTGGACGGTAGTTCTCAGGTAAGTGGACATTTCCTTTTTTAAAAATGGGTGAGACATTGGCGCTCCTCCAGTCCTTGGGCAGGTGGCCGGTAGCTATGGAGCACTGGAAGATGCGTGTCAGAGCTGGTGCTAGTTCGTCTGCATAGGTTTTAAGGATTTGATTTGGAATTCCGTCTGGTCCTATCGCCTTGTGGATCTGTAGTTTAGCTACTCCTTTAGCTGTAATTTCCAGCGGTGGTAGTCGGCGTTGAGGTCTTACTGGATGGTGTGGATGTATCAGTAGTAAAGACTGACACAAACTGTTCGAGTGGGATTTTTGCTTTGTCAACATCTACCATTCTTGAGTATTCCGTTCACTTTCAAGGATGGAACTCCTAGGTTTTCCTGTCTCCTCGTTTTCACGAACTGCCTTGAACTGACCCCAATTTCCGGATGGCTTGGCTTTATTGTAGAGTCTTGCCTTCCTTTTGACCGTTCGACGAAGGTTCCGGTTGAACCATGGGAGCGATAAACGGCCCTTCATGACTGTGGATGGTATGTGTCTGTCCATGGAGGCGCGTATGTCCTCTTTGAAGATGTCCCACATCTTGTCGATATCACCATCAGACTCTTCTTCGGGGGATAGTCTGCGAGATATATTGGCACAGTCAGACTTTAGCCCTTCCCAGTTCGCTTTTGCATAGCGGTAGCATTTCCGGGGCTTTCGTACGATTATGTGTGGTAGAATGTCGAAGTCGCTTACCACCATTGCGTGGTCACTGATACCTGGAACACTTATCGAGGATTTGGCCAGGGATGTATTGTTTGTAAAAACCAGGTGCAGGATGGTGTCTTGCCTGGTGCATTCATGGTGTACTTGTGTAAGTCCATTTTCCACTGAGAAGTCCACTAGGGCTTGTTGAGCCTCTCGCTGTGGGGCACCACTTCCTACTGTTAGGTTATCCCAGTTTATATCTGGACAATTAAAGTCCCCTGCTAATATCACATGTCGGTTAAATGCGCCCTCAGATAGTTTCTTCATGGATTCTGTGAGGGACTTTATATCACTCATATTCCTGTGGGGCATATAGAAGGTATAAAGGTCCTTCTTATTTCTGAGTTTAATTTTTGACCAGACAACTTCACAATCGGTAACTAGCTGGGGTTGCTCATCTGTGATTAGTCCTTTCCGAATCCAGTGAATACTCCCCACCCAGGCCCGATGATCTGAAGGTTACATCACTGTTTAGGATTGAATTGGGTGCTGGCATATTTCCTGGTTTGATACCTTTAAGCCAAGACTCGCAGATGATATCCGGTTTAATGTATTTTAACGCTGCTTTGAATTCTGACTGGTTTGTCCTTATACTACAGCAGTTTATTGTGAGTTCGCGTGGGTTCCCATTTCTAGTGAGGTATGGGTTATTAGTGGAGGTGTTGTCTGCTGTAGACGACTGCCTTCTTGAGCCAATACTACGGGAAGATGAGGGTCTAGGTCTCACTTTCGGACTACTGGTGTGTGGTAGGCTGAAACTCAGGGTAGTTGTGATCGAGTCGACTGAATTATCCAATTTTGACAATGGTTGGTAAATGTTTGATATTTCAAAACTGTTGAATGCTATGCTATCGATATTAACAGAGTTACACTTATAGCAGTGCCTGACAACGCTCGAGCTCTCCGGGTATGACAAGTTTGATGAGCTAATATCACCACAAGTCTTATGATACTACATACTACAATTGGTACAACAGACTCCGATCTGTTACCAGGTGACAGGGATCTCACAAAGGCCGCATGGGAAAACAGACTTATTTCCGGGACCAGGGTTCATGAGATAAATTGCATTAGCTGCAATACCAAGTGTAAGGATTCACAAAAATGAATCCAACCGTACTCTCCGTGCTAACGAGAGGTTTTCCGTATTGACATGAAACACCATCCATTATCATCAGACATAAAGCAAGTGCCACAGGGCGATTTCCGGTAAAGGTTACACCATCGCTCTGTACCGCTATTAACACGGAAAACATGTCGGTATTATGTAACAAACGCCCGACTCATGCTCTCAACCCCATTTACTTGTTAGATTAACTTTGTTTTCACCGTAGTATGGTTTTCTGTGCTTTGTATGCTAGATTAATTTTGTTTAAAACGTTGTATGTTTTTCTGTGCTTTGTAATTTCGATCGCCTACGACACTTTACAAAAATATTTGTCGATGTTAAGGAATATATTTATCGTAGCAAGTATATAGAAGCCTGAGATATATCACACACTGGTACAGCAATCGGAGTGGTGAATCTCCATTACACAACACTTTTGTCTAGTTAGTTCTGGCATACAGCAGCCAAATCATCACCGTGTGCCATTTTAGTGTTCGTTTTGTAAACCAAGAATACTAAGTTTTATGTAGGTACCAGTGGCCTGGAAACACGTGTAAACTTGTGAATTATGCGACAATGTTGGCAGTCTATATCTCTGAGATAGTTCTGACGTGGTTACTGTTGATATGTTACATCTCCGAGATAATCCTGATATTATCACGGTTGTTAAACTAACAAGCTCGAGATGTTCCTGATAACATCACGGTTGTTATACTAACAAGCTTGAGATGTTCCTGATATTATCACGGTTGTTATACTACAAGCTTGAGATGTTCCTGATATTATCACGGTTGTTATACTAACAAGCTCGAGATGTTCCTGATATTATAACGGTTGTTATACTAACAAGCTCGAGATGTTCCTGATATTATCACTGTTTTTACACTAACAAGCTCGAGATGTTCCTGATATTATCACGGTTGTTATACTAACAAGCTCGAGATGTTCCTGATATTATCACGGTTGTTATACTAACAAGCTCGAGATGTTCATGATATTCTCACGGTTTTTATACTACAATCCCGAGATGTTCCTGATATTATAACGGTTGTTATACTACAAACCCGAGATGTTCCTGATATGATCACGGTTGTTATACTAACAAGCTCGAGATGTTCCTGATATTATCACGGTTTTTATACTACAATCCCGAGATGTTCCTGATATTATCACGGTTGTTATACTACAATCCCGAAATGTTCCTGATATTATAACGGTTGTTATACTACAAACCCGAGATGTTCCTGATATGATCACGGTTGTTATACTGACAAGCCCGAGATGTTCCTGATATTATCACGGTTGTTATACTAACAAGCCCGAGATGTTTCTGATATTATCACGGTTGTTATACTAACAAGCCCGAGATGTTCCTAAAATTATCACGGTTGTTATACTACATGTAACAAGCCCGAGATGTTCCTGATATTATCACAGTTGTTATTCTACATCTCCGAGATGTTTTTGAAGTGATTTCTGTTCTTATAGTACAAATATGAGATATTCCGGATGTTATTCATTACTACAGGTCGGAGATGTTGCTGATGTGATTACACTTGTGGCCACAGATCTGAGAGGTTCCTGATGTGATTACACCACATGTCCGATATGACTCTGATGTGATTTATCTTGTTATTATAAATGGTTTGTGATGTGATCACTGCTATTATCACTAATGCTGCGGGTATTCATGATGTTCCCTTGGCGATTCCGTAGGGTGGGCCTAATTACTGATGGGAAACGTAAGGACTGCTACTTCACGCAGCAATACAAACCAAGTAACGGGAATGTTAAAACGCTCTTTACATTACTGTCTTTCGTGTTATAACGAAACGTAAAAGAGAATGTTTATTTTGATTTATCAAGAAATGATGCACGTGTTGTAAGTGTTAACATATGTTATTCTATAGGAGAGAATAAATAATAACATGTAGTTATCGGAATACAATTTTCTCTAGAGTTTCTAACTACTGTAATGCGATTGTAATACTAATATACATGATACGATAATACTGTAAGCTGATATTAGGAACAACATATCTCTGTAAATAAGTTTTATGGATAATGAAAAAGTTGATATTCGATCTAATATTTTATGTTTTGAATATTTTAAGTATTAACGAATCGCATTTAAAAGAAAAAAGTGTATTTTCGAATATTAAAATGGAAACAACTTGGGAAGAGACACATTTTTATATGATGCCTTTAAAATATAACAATTACTGAGAAAAATCCAAAGCTAAAAGGACAGAAACACAAAGTCTTCAAATTATCTATTTATTTATGTTATTATTGTTGTCAAGGAATGCTTAAAGTTGGTGCTTGGCAAATTGTCAAACAGGTGTGTAGAGAAGTAAACTGTGCTTGTATTCCCCCATGAAATGACACTGTCTTGTTGTGACGGGACGTGTATGGACTACTTTATCGGGAAGATGTTGGAATATAACGGACATGGGAATACTTTTACCGATACTACAATGAAAGCGTTTACCTAAAATGGTCTCAGTAGTGTATATCAAATACCGATTGTATATTCTTCAAATACAACGTGAGTAAGTTACGTATATGAAATAAACCTTGTAATGGTTTGCTATTTCCGGAACTTCTGATATCGTAGTTTGTGTTCGGAGTTTAATCGTAACAGTTAGGGTCATATGAGACACCGCCTGAAACAGAAAGTAGTTAGAAAAGAATGAAAGAAGGCGGTAAAGATAGGAAACTAAAACTATGATATCGAAGTCACATGTTTTGTGTTGTACTAAGATAACCAGTACAATGTTTTATACACGTAACAAGGAACACTGATATGGTATTTTTTTGATTTTATAAGCAATTTAAAATAGTACAGCTATCAACAACGTATCACAAGTAAGCAGAAGTACATGTAAGCAAGCACCTTAAAATCCACGTCAGCCAACAGCTATCACACCCTCCGCTCTCTAGGTGATATTTAACAAAACGAAGTATGAAGAAATACTTACATTGTCATAAAAAATAAACATTTAAAAAATTGAATGAACATTGAACAATTCTTTTATTGTAGTATTATTTAGGTTCTAAACGCACACAACATTCACGCTCTCTCATGATTATTATTGCAAGCACATTTGTTATGTTAAGGATCCAGTTATAACGCTGTGCGATGAAATCGGCAAGTGTAAACATTCATAACAAGTAAAAGAAAATACGAAACAAATATTTCAAATCGGTGTGTCATATTCATGTTTTTGTATGATATATTTTATGGTGTATTGTATGAATGATAATCTTATCCACATTTTGAATGTTTCTGAAATGAAAACTATGTACAAGTAAAATTATATAAAATAATTGATACAGGACTATAAGAACTAGCTCATTAGCTGGGTATACTGGATACTATGTTCCTCTCTAAAAGAAGAGTACACTGTTAAGTTTGATAAATATTTATTAAATAGTTACTTTTAAAGAATAATTATTGTTTGCAATATTAAGTTTCTAATGATGTTCATTCTTGTTCTAGGAAATCTCTTTTAAATGTGTCTTATAAAAAAAGTCATAGAGTACTAAAAGTACGCTATGACAGAGGTATCATAATTCACTAACCGCCTGAGTGGGTTTTTTGTCGATACATGTTCCGGTTAACCAAGGACTTAGATAGCATCTAATGTAATCCCATGGGTTAACGTGTCCGTTGTAAGGTCATTTAAGTGCCTATTGCTATTTGTAGTCATATTGAAGTAAGTTTTACAAAACATTTGCAAACATGGAGCTTTAAAAGTGTGCAAATATAAAATTAACATATTGCAGTTTGAAGGAAATTGGTCATACATGTAATGGAGCGAGAAACCCGAACACTGGACCAGTGGTATGACTGTGTTTCTGGCGTCAAGATAACTGGCTATGTCTCTGATTCTCCCTTGGTGGACGCCTCCTCGGAAACATTTTCCTTGTCATTCTGTATCACTATCTGGATTGATTCGGGTTCAGTTTCTTTAGTTACAACTTCTGTCGATTCTTCTGTTGAACGTACCTCTGGTGTTTCTGTTTTCACACTTGGGTTGTTAACCTCGGGCGTTTTGTCATCATTGCTAGCTCCTGTTGTTGGCTTGTGAGCATTAGATTCAGAGTCTTCATTTCCTGCTTCGTGTTTATCCTCACCTTTTCCCGTCGTATTTTCCTTCTGCTTCGTCTCGGTTTTATCGCGTTTTGGAAGATCATGCGTTTTGACAAAATGTTTGAGGAACACCACCATACTCCTTTGTCCTTGCTGAAAAATGATAAATAAGAAAATGAGGATTGTAACTTTTATTTGTGTTGACCACTTTCTAAATCTACATGATGAAACAACAGAATCACATATCGACACGCAGACATTTTTTGTTTCCTTCGTTTCTGGTATTGTTATCGGAGTTTGGTAATACAGTGATATATTGTTGGCAAACCAAACTCGCAATGTTCCTCCTTTACAGATATATACACATACTTAATGTAGTCCTTTTGATATGACTTCCGTGATACATAGTATACATGAAAGAATATCTAAGCCGGTTCTATTCAAAAGGTTACTTTGATACTGATATGAAGTTTGAACCATTTAGAGATTCTATTTGTCTTTTTGTGTTAAGACTATCAACACTTATTGAAGACGTGTACCGTTACTTAGTACAACAAGTAAGCCATAAAACGACGCGTCCATCATACCTCCACTGTGAAGTCTTTGTCCGCTACCTCCATACCAAAGTCCATCACCCCTACGTGACCCGTGTTGATTCCAACTGACCGGTCGATATCCTTTTCCTATAAATAAAAAAGTAAAACAAAAAAACATTACGCTAAAAATTTCAAAAAATCCGTCAAACTCAGATAGCCTGGTACTTTAACGCTCACGAGAAAAAAAGGAAAAGATGTGAGCTGTAATTTATCTTCCATGGGACCTCACATTACCAGTAAGGATGTTAAAATAGTCGTAAAGTTAGTGATTAAGGTATTCTATCAATCGTACCCGTAATGTAATGCAATGCAGAGTTACAAGAAATGTACACAGTTTCGATGAAGATATTATGATTTTGTCATATAGGTGATGAATGTACAGGTATCTTATAACTTGTCGTAATGTGCTCCATACCTCGACGTATCTTCTGCTGCCGTTGACTAGCAATGCGTTCTGCAGCGCATGCGTGAATGATTGGAAGTCGGTGATTTCCTGTCTACTATAACCAAGGTAACGCTCTAAAAGGTAGACGCCATTACTCTGTGCGAAATCCATTAGCTCCTGGAACTGAATCTGCAAAGACAAATCTTAATGTTATTTGAAATTTAAGATAGTTTTATGAAACGCAGTTGAGGACGATTCAACAACATGCCAATGAAAGCTCATTACTTTGTATAAAATAATTCAGCGAATAATCACAGAGCAATGCCGATTGGCAATGGACAATAACCCCTGCGATTTTAAAAGGAGTATTAATATTTGTCAAAACGTAAATCACGAATCCCACAAACAATTAAATATCAAAAATGAACTGTCAGGAAGGTTAATTGTTCGCGGGACCGTATATGACGTTTCTCACCTCTCCGTCTTTACTGCTGTCCAACAGTTCGAACGCCTTATCCGCGGTTATATCCGGGCCGAACAAGGTTTCCTTGATTCCGTCCGATATCTGTGGATATGTAAGGGTAGATGATCAGATTGGCAGCATAGAAGTTCTTACTTGTATACGTTATGGTCATGTTTTTTATTCTTAATCACTACACATTTTTAGTATAGTCAGACGAAAATGACCTGTCGCGTTGATTTTTACCTGGAATAATTGCTTTTTATTCAGTGTGTCTGTCTGTTTATTTAAGTGCCAAAGGACATTACGACTATTTCACATTGAACGGCAGACCTAGCTATGCTATTTCTATAAATACTGCTTCGTCTGCAATAAACTAGGTAATCGGAGAACATGTCAATTTGTCGGACTATAACAATATTACCGGACTTAAACCTTAATGCCAAGGCAAAAAGATATTATGTTATTTGTGTGATTTTTTCTTAGACGCAGAGCCTATCGGCGTTGATATCAGTAGTGTTAAGAACGTCAAACACATTTACCATCTCGGCTATGAATGTCATTAGCCGTTTGTTGACGTCATTATTATTATGACGTCGTAATTGTAACGTTGCATACCACTGACCCTCAATTGACAGATGGCTATTCTATTTATTTAACAAGTATATACGATAACTTTATTTTTTTAACTATATGCTGAATAATGATAAAAATAATTGAAATTTCTATGAATTCGACGGATAACAAATATAGTATTGGAATGTTTTCAGTTAGTGCGCTTCATTGAATTTGCTGTTGTCCAGTTGGCATTCCTATTGCCTGCGAATGCCAACTGAAAACAGTTCAATGCTTAATAAGATGTTATACACTCCTCATGCAGATTGCGTACGGAGAAATACGTACGTCTGTGAACGCTGCCTCGAGTTCTGATTTGCTGATACAACCGTTTCTGTTGAGATCATGATGACGCAGTATCTAAAATGAAATATTGAAAAGAATCATCCTTTCCAGCCTCAAAGTTTTACATGGTGCCTGATCGGCAAAACGATCGCAAGGAGTGAAGATATGATTTAAAAATTTAAAAAAATATAGTGTTAACTTCGTTATGTGAGCGGCTTTGAGACAAACATTATATTCAGAACCCATCTTTGGATATGCAGGAAAAAATATTACGGGATAGGATAATATCAATTAATTCACTTATAATAAGAAGTTCTTTTCCTATGTTAATCTTCCAGAACCAACATATGAGAATGGTTCATTTCTCTCACAACCACCATAGGTTTTCTCAATTCCGACTCATTTGATAAAGCAATGGGTAGATGGTAAACATTTTTGGTTACCCATTAGGTAACAATTGTTTGCGACGTCATCTTCTATTGTGAAGTCATATAGGTCATGCCAATTGTTTCCTTGATCGGAAAAAGGAATAATGCATCAGCCAGAGAATCATAGTGTTCTAGATAGACTACAAGATATACCATTTGAACGTTGTGGGAGAAAATGGTCCCAAAACTCGTGATGGTTGGTTATCATATCTATATAACTCTTTTTAGTGAGTTTTCAAATTGCAAAAGACACTCGGTAAACCTCGTGTCTTTATACAATTTGAAAATAAACTAACTCGCGTTCGTGTTAGATAACATGGTAACCAACCGTTATTCATTGGAGAACCTCTATTTCAGACATACTTCGAAAAAATCGGTGAATGCTTCCATAATCTTTTGGTGTTCTTTCTTGGCAACGCTTTGTAACGCCTTCTTCTTCAGTTTCCGTCTGAAATAAGACAAGTATTTATTACTGCAATGTATCTAATACCAAAAGTCGGTTTCATCTATAGATCTATCGACCCATGCTTTACTTTCCTAAAAAAACTCACGGCATGAAATGAGGTCGGGTTACTTGACGTCACACCGCAAATAAAGTATCTAACTCAAGATAATCAATATGCAATAGTCAAATATTTTCTAAGCACATTTGAATATACATGTATTGCTAAACTAATTCGGACACTACCTCAATCGTATAACCTGTTAAACATTGTTTTCGATGCATATATAATCAATGTTGTTTTATACATTTAGAAATTAATAATAAAAGAAATCATGTTGCAGATTTTAACTAATTAAACAGTTAGAAATGAATCACTGTTTTAAGATGTACTTAAGCAATGCTATGTATATTGTATTTGTGTAGATATTAGAGAAGCAGACTTTTACATTTATCTGAAATATGCTTTTCCGGATACGTCCTATTTACCAATTGCCACGGTTTTCCTAGAAGCAAAAGTAAACGGGCATCATGTCCAGATATAGTAGTGTCCGCTGTAATTTTAATCATCTGTCCCACCTATGTTTATTGTAAGGGTTCATTATATCGTGATGCAGTATATATACACATTTACCTATCGAATGAACTGAATAGTTTGTAATATTTCCATTTGCTCCGATTGCCATTTCATAACCTTACCAAAAAAAATAGAAAGGTATCAGATCATAATTCTCGGATAGTTCCCATTGGTGTAGTGATATGAAGTATCATGTTCGTAACGTCGTGACTAAACGACGTCGTTTTGACCGACGTCACTAAATTAATTGTATCATTGACGTCACGAAAATTAATTGTCGTCTTCCATAAAGTGACAAAAAACACATCAAAGCAAATAACTCTTCATTCCACAAACACGGTACATGTAACTACCGGATTATTCATAAACGCAACTTTTTCCGGCTGCACTTTCAATTTCAATCGCTAAATTCACCGTTCGTCATCAGGCTAAATCACCACATCAATAACAATACGCATTCCTCGTCGTAACCCATCCATGCTACCGGATTAAAAAACCTTATTGATCAACGTAACTCGCAACAATTTATGTAGTTATGTTGTATAAACGGTGAATATTCTCACTGTGGAATATATTGATTAAATTGTTGAAATTAAATTCATGATTGTGTATTTATTTTCACGAACTTTTTTTTTGCCGGGAACGGTCGCGTGCACTCGTGACATCACAACAAGAACAGGTCCCATTGACAGGGAGCGCGAAATTTTACTTTGAAATGCGATAACAGGTTGGAAATATAAGAAAAACTTCATTTAAAAACGGAAATATAGGTTTTAAACTGCTTTCTTTGGAAAATAATTGTCCTATAATTCTAACAGGATTGCAGACAAACTCATCATAACGCGCTAACGCCAACTTTTAAATATTTCCACATTTTGTTATTAGAAACAATGTAAGAACAATAAGATAGCAGCTAAGATATAAACATATATTAATTATGTTTGGTCAGGACCTGTTAAATCTACAAGACCAGTAAATGACCATTGATCAGTGGCCAGAGCAAGTAAATATATAACTTCATTGTCTATTTCTGTGATGTATCCCATACTGGCTTGCCATTCAACAAACCCGATGATGTTTACGCCAGGACTGAACAGTACCAACAACGCTGATTAATTAATTGATGCAGTGTGCAAGTTATGAAGACTGCACGGCGTAATGGCTACAACATACTTTGAGAGCGAGGTTTTAGGTATTTTCCCCATCTGTTTCCCATATCTCTTCTCCATACTGAATCGGAATAAATCTTCTTCTAGGTCTTCGTACTAAAACAAACACATATGAAAAAAGTCAAAGTAATTTTAACAAACTGGCAAACAAACAGTCAAATCAATCATTCCTCATCTATTTGCTTCCGTTAATATGTTACGCTATGAAACATTCAGTTTCTTTTTTCTTCTTTAAAAAAGGCATTTTTGTTGCCAACTATATCAAATTTTCTTGTGAGGATTTTACTTCACACTGATATGATGGTGCTACATACCACTAGAAATCCTAGCGTTTTGGAATTCCTGCCTTCGAATCTGCCGTCCCTGGCTAGAAGACCTGGTAGTTTGTCTAGTGGTTTGAGTCTTTCAAGGAACGTGTCTCCTGGTTCCATAGATAGCCACCAGCCTACAACACAGATTAAACTTATCATCTTTTGTTTGTTACTGTAGATGTGGCTCTCTATTTTGAAACCAATTAGCGATCAAAGATGCTTACATTTTAAAAAGATCTTCATAATACTTGTATTAAATTTAATCGTGTACATTTAAGCAAAAGCCTGCTTTATGAAAGTTTACATATTTTGATGGATCCCGGTATATTTGTTATTACAACAACATCAGTAATATTTTACAGGCATACACATGACAAGTCGTTCCGGTATCAGAGAAATATGTATATTTCTCTATGTATACGCAACATTTTATATGCCTACCACCGTATTGTAATACGTATACACATAGACTATTAAGTAAATACTTACATTTACCCAATAACCATTGTTTTCGCAAACTATTTTTTTATCATCTCATTACCTAACTGTACATCTTGACAAGTTTCCGTGTTACATAGACAGAGCTATGCTTCTTTGTAACGAGGAGCACATATGTAACGTCGTAAACAGTAAATGGGGGCGGTGTAAGTCCAGGCTCATTCAAATTTCAGAATGCTAGTTTTTCTTAACTTATTACACGGTACGTGTAACATGTTTTGAAATTTGCGTTCGATTATAGATTAATGTATAAAAATACAGTGAGTATAAGAAAAAGCTGTCTTATTTCGCTCAGAATATGAGGTCATAACTCCATAAATTGTGTAAATTGAATAGATCGATACTTCATAACACGAAATGTTCGTGGGTACTTTCCTTCGTGGTTAGAAGCCATTTAGATCGTTTTATGATGCAATGTTTCGTGATATCCTTTAATAACAAACAGCAGACACGTATATCATCCAAACTGTTTGTATATATTTTCGTGGTTCAATAGCAACCACGAAAACCACGAATGTTTATACACAACGAACATTTCATGTTATACAGTATGCCTTACGTGTAAATGAAACACAAGGCGCAGCCATCTTTAATAAAGTTACTAGTACTCCACTCGAGTTCTCATCTGATAACATGACAAAATAGAAAAGTATTCCCTATAGTATTGTTTTGTGCATGATTCGTAGCCCTGTAATACATGAAAAAGTAGTTGCCAAAACAATGCATAGGAGAGGGATTATTGAAATACTTTATAAGTAAGCTTCCGTCAATACTGTGTCATATTTCAGTATTGGATGATTATTAAACAAAGTAAATATGAAGATAGCATAATGACACTGTATTTGGTTGTTACCATCATATTGATGTATGGATTAATTTCCATTACAACAATATATAGAGTAAATTAATAATCAAAACAGTTTATTAGACATTTACCATCATAACAGTGTATAGGGAAGTTACACATGATCCCACCGTCCACAAACACATCCTCGTCGCCGGCCTTATCGTATTTCACCGCTTGAAATAAAACTGAAAGGGAATAACTATATTAATCAACTATTGTATAGCATTCATGTAATTTATATAACTTTATTAGTATTATATGGTATAACATATATAACTATGTTCTATACTTATATCAATCTACATTGTTTGGAGTTGATATAGATTTACATTGCGGGTTTCGTCAATGAAACAGAACACGCTTACCCTTCTGGTATACCTGGTCTTATTCTACTTGTATTTTGTTAATGGTCTCTATGTTAAAAAAAAAATTGTTCATATTTTGCGTAAGTTTTATCTATTTTGAGTTCAAATTATGGCTATGTTGACACTTCGATATTCTCTTGTCGTTTATTGTAAACCATACATGTAATGTATATACATGTACCTATATTAATCTTCTATAGTGTTACATGCACATAATTCGTATAATTACATTGATATATCATTGTATGCCTAACACTAAAATATGTACCTCGAGAACAATAAGTAATTGATAGTTCTACTCATCTGGAGGTTATTTATTTACAGAGTCTTAATCACGAAACGATTTTGCTTTGTCTTTTTGTGTAAATTGTTTAACAAATTTCCCAATACATCATCGTTATGATAAATAGCACAAATGAAATGCTCGAACGCTTATAAAGGTACAACTTGAAAGAGAACGACCATCCATTAGCTTATGAACAGTGGTCCTTTTGATCTATACAAATCACACATACAGTTACAATCCTATAAAACACTGGTCCGTATGATCTAAATGAATGAGAACACAATCCATATGATTGATCAGCTACAGGCTGCTCGCCTTTTGTGATCAATTCGTGGAACATGGGACATATACCTGGAATGGACATAGACATTCGTACTGCTGTCCGGATCGGCATGTGAGGTGTTGTTTTCGGATGACAATATTCCTCCGTCATGCGGCTGACATTGGTGACTACTACACAAAGTTCTACTCCTCTTTTCTTGTATAACTGAAATACATCGTGTATATGAATATTGTTAGTTAGTTGTTTAACTGAAACACATCGTGTGCATTTTACAATGTGGTCAATGTAATATCGACCTCATTGTGTGTTAACTGGTACACCTGGTAAATGTTTTGATCAAATTCAAATTGTTTGACTGAAGTAAATCATGCATATTTTACAGCGAGTGAACTTGTAAATGATTTGTTTGCTTTTCTGGAGTTAAACGTCCTCGCAACAGCAAATGTCATATACAGGCGGGTTTCCAAGGAGACACAGCCAAGAAGACAGAATAGGAAAGTAAGGCAAAAATGTAAAAATCGAAAGTGTTGAAATTGGGGCATTAGCTGATTTTTACCCAATGTCCCCTATGCAGTAGACAGACTTAACAATTCCTCGCTAGGTAGCGGGAGGGGAGGGAGGGGTCTGTTGGCTCCGATTGAAACGCTCAGGGGGTCTTAGGGTAGGAGGAAACCAGAGTCTCTGGCGACAAGCCATATGATGGGGTAATGAACATACACTGATACCTTTACTGCATAGTTCATGTCCTTTTATAATAGAAAAGCATGTGTAATAAATCAGATGTTATCTCAGTCCAATACATAGCATATCCCTATTCACAATTAATCTACCAAGAAAGGGGCGTGATGTGAATTGGACTTACAAATATACGGCTATGTGAAGAAAGACAAGACAAGAATCATGAAGTCAATGATACTGTGAAGTAAAAAAAAAGTTAAAATGTCCTTAAAGTCAAAATAACAAAAACAGAAATCTAATTATCTCAGTGATATCGTATTTCCTTCTTCCAGACTGGAGCAGAATACTCTTGTTTCAATGAATTCACGGGGCCTGGTACTTTTGACAATTTCCCCATTACCCTTTCTGAAGTAGAGACTTTATATCAAATATCCATTATACATCTGTATTTTTTGTGGCGGTTGTAACACTGTTTCCTTACATCAGCACTAAGATTTCGTAGTTAAAGACAATTTTAAACAACTATGGATAATATGAAAAATATACCGTACACCGAAAAGTGATTGCAGAATGAAACGCAAAGGGTCACTCACTCATTCGTGTGTTCAAGTTGGGAAGTATGCAGTAAAACAGTTAGTGCCTTACTTTTCATCACTCGAGAATTATATCACGTTCTGTATCTCTCGGGTGTAATAAATCCCTTTTTATTAAAAAACAGACAGTAGTCTAACTTTGTCAAGCTAAGTGAAAAAACATCCAATCGTACGTATTACATGAAGACAGATCACACAGCGGACACAAAATCTCTGTAGTGATGAGATTTGACGTCAGTTAGTCTTACAGTTAATAGTCACACAGGGATAATCAGTTACATGGTATATGTTTGATCCTACCCTAGTGTGTAGTGGGAGTATTATTAAACGTTTTCGGGATTAAGATTTTACCGACAGTTGGTATAAATCCTTGACACGTCTAATGTTATATCGGGTTAGGTCTAAACGTAACTCTGTAATTGATTTTCATGTCCATACGGCTCAACACAGTATAATTACTTCACAGTGTGGCCAAGTTATGTTTAATTCACAGTCATACTCATCGTTTACACATAGCAGCTAGGTCTTTGTTGCACAAACTATCAAACTTAACATACTCATGAAATACCGAAGTCCCGTATATATTTGAGAAATGTGTTATACATGTTGACAGTGAATTCAAACTTCTAGCTTTTATTACGATTTAAAAACGCCATTTTTCTAGTATAAATATATATATGTGATATTCCTAAAAGAAAAAACATTTTTCTGATGCCTGTGTCCACGATGTAATTGCAGCTTTGACATGAAGGTATTATCCGTATGAGGGGTATACTACCAGCTATGTACATAACACAACAAAACATTGCATTAATACATCATAAAGTATAATTTATTTATATAAACTCGCATTAGTAGAAAAACATTTTAGTATAATTACATAATGCATTCTCAAAGTAAACAGAAAAAGTTGCTTGCAAAATATGGTGCAGAGGCACCAACACCTGTAGATAAAGGGTAGCTTGTCCATGTTGCCCAAATTACCATTCAATTACATGATTTATAATAGTGCCCATTAATATATATTTAGAATTGAATATATGACCATTTACCAATATACCCTAATTACACAAGACCTGCCTTTCAGGAGGTAGCACGGATGATCTCGGTACGATCACTAATGCACGGATGTTTTTAGTTTTCAGAATACATTACAATGTAGTGTTTGGTTTACATTTATGTCTCCAACAGGACTGAGAACCGTTCACAGAAAACATTTAATTCCGAAGGATATGGGCTTTTCAATCACCTCAATGATGGATATATCAAGTTACCAGTTTCATTTATGAATGATTCATGAAAGGGAACAATATAATATATAAAGAAAATTTGTGATTTATTGTGAGGAACAAAATATCAACCTTAATGACCCCACTATTTGCGACATTTTAAAAAAGATTGATAAATAATTAAAATAAAAACCAGATAGCAAGGGTATACCTGAATGTTTTCGTCGCGCCAACCTTAACGCTGATTCGAACACAGGTGATGTTGAAGGCATGTTAAGCCTTGTAACATCTTTTCATTCAATTCAAAAGATAAAATGGCCACTTACTGCATGATGATACACAATGAATACATATCAGACCTTATCGCAGTTATGTACATTTCTAGCACTAAAAGCACATGTATAATTGTATGTTCAAACCTGGTACATATGCACTGCATGTAATTTAGGTGATTTTGGACTCTGCGTGAGAGAAACAAATCATTACACAGTCTAGTTTAATATCAATTTAAATAGTGAGCGATACATTGAATCTCAAATACTATAGCCATCTGATAAATTAAACATTTATGAATATTTATATTGGTGTTGCAGTCCGTCTAGATAACAGTACCAACTCAAAATGTTGTTATGATTCAATAAAAGCAAGTTTGTAGTAAATTTAACAGTACTACATGTATCGTTATATGACCTCTGACCTAACAATGTGCATGCCCTCATAACTGTTAAAAACGATGTATTTCAAATTTTAAATAAGTTTAAAGATGCCTGCCTAAGTTTGAGGCTAAGAAAAGTAAAATACGTAAAAAAGATTGTGTAAGACGTGAACTAAATTCTACGTGTGCCTTGAGAAAAAAACACTAATCAGCTAGACAACTTAGACCTGGTGAATTAAAGACGTTTGATATAGAGACAAAAGTGTGTTATCTGACTCAAGACAAAGCTTACGTTTAAAAAAAATCCATGTACAAACAATTATTTGTGTACTTTTTATGATCCGAGTATACTCTTATATTTATAAAAACAATATATTGTAAGTATACAGTTTCAGAACATCGCTGGAATACAAGATAACTTAATAAACGTTTTTTTCTAATGAAACAGACCTGACCTCGGATTGATAAGCTTGTGAATAGGAACATTTTCTGAATCGTTCAAAACCATTACGGTATCATTAAATCCACACACATCGATTGTCTATTGGTGAGCATTTCAAATTCCAGAAGCGTTAAGGTTTTTTTTCCTCACCTAAGTTTAAACTGGTGGCAGACGTAATAGTTATATAAACATCGAGTTAATTAAAGCTAGCCTTGAGCAAATAGACCCTCGCACAAAGTTGACCTCGAAGGATGTTTTATGAAGGCGGCCATTTACATTGAGTATTGATCTTGTTTCTTGCTCTGTTTTAGCCATGAGTCTTTAGCATAAGGAGAATGAAAACATCAGACGTAATTGAATTCAGCTTAAGTATATACACTGATGCTATAGTAGCGCATATCCTTTCATCAAATTCCCCATTTACAGCGGATGAATGGTCTACCTTCCCACGACATTCACTCGTTAACAAGACATGACGACTACTGTTGTCTCAGAGTTATCGCATTGCAACTCGGCGGCGGAGAGAAAAGCTAATATATGACGTAACGAAGCAAGCTCAATGACGCTGGGATCTCCCCCAGAGAACTGTTAATTTAAATGGCAACAATTCAACTTCCATAAAAAATCTTATTTTTGTCACACACGTTTCAGAATATACCTTTGAGACAACACATAATCCCACGAAAATACGTCAGAAAACATCTCCCTCGTGATGCAATACCAGCCTTACTATTGATTTTATCTTCAGCAGGTAACAAAACTAAAACTGAAAACTAAGTATCTCATATGTAAAATGTTCGGCGAGTGGGCTGCAAATATCAGTTATAGATTGAAGACTGACGTGATTTATTCTCCACTCTTGTGTTGTTATGTTTCAGGTACTTGTGATTTGTGTTATCTCTGGTATGACGGAAGTTGTTAAGGTTTTATGCGATATTATCTGTGTCCTGTCCGGTGTGTGTTAACAGTCTGAGATATTTCTCTCATTCGACAAACTGGTTCATGACAGACCAGGTGCCATTTGTAAGTAACCGACACGGCACGGTATTTATTTTACTCGAGTTCAAACTCAGATAAAGCTTGTAATGGAAAGCGAGTTTATACATATACATGATGTATACATTTTCAAATTCTTAAACATATCGCAATAATCCTTTTATAGCTTTCAAATTGAAATCAATACCATAGCGTCCACATTTAAGCCCAAACTTAGGACTTTTACATTCAAACCAAAATAGAAATACTCGATCGGGCAGACATTTTGAACTCCCACAAAAAAACAAGATATGCATTTTAGTAGCACACTAAGAAATAAACTTTACAGTGTATATATGTTTGTTCTATTTAATGATATATACTACTGCATTGATCTGTTTCAATTTGTAAGGTTATATTCATGTGTATATTGTAAACACATATGTCCGGCTTCTGTACACATTATCTGTGGAATTGTCATTAAAACTGCATACGAATAGCGGAGACGACCGGTCGACGGGGCCAATTCGTGCGGAAATTGATGAATCGAAATCATAAGAACAAAACAGATTGAACATCAATACTTTGGACGCTTACATAATTTGCACTAATGTATTAATGTGAAATGAATCTGTTCTCTGCCTATTGGGTCAATATTCGTATGTATCTTACCTGTGCGAAGGTGACATCCGGGTCCCCCATAATTTTTGCCAAAACCCCACCGAGCCAGTTAGAGAAACGGTTGCCAGGGTTCCAACCAAAATCCTTCCGCAGACTCGGTAACAAGCTGAGAATGCCCCATTTATGATCTGAAGGTAAAAGGCATACATGTATAACTGGTATCGTCTTAAAACTTTCAACGTCGATTCGCCGTAAATGATTGATTACAGATTTAATTAATCAAATGTGAATCAAGGACACTTTTGTTTTAGTTTCTTTGTCTGTCGAATTTAATTTATAATTAAAAATAAACCGAACTTCATGACAATATTTCGTAGAACATTCAAACAATTTGGACTGGTTTATATGATGCGTGTTGTGCATGTTTTCTGGGTTTCAATTTTCCCCTTCGTCTGTGATAACTATTGAACTATGGATCCCCCTGTTTTTAATCGACACTGGCTAATAATCAACGCATGCCTTCGACATTTCACCCGATTCTACCTACCTAATAAAATAGTATTTAGATCTTGACTGAGGAATTCGTCTACTTCCTTGGAAGTGTAGCCGACTGCCACTAAAGCTGCCGTAATTGCTCCAGCACTGGTCCCAGCGAAACGTTTAATGTTCTGCATGAATCCAAGGTCCTCGATAACCTTTATTATAGGAAACATAATGTAATATCTCACTACTTTGTTAAGACAGGTATGCAATGATAAGAATTGATGTTCAGTATTGCCAGAATGGAACGTATAAATTGTACATTATATGATAATTACAAATACTAATAAAATGTGTTGGTATGCAGCATTCCTTTGGCAATAAGTGGGTAGAATAAACGAACTTGTGATTACATATGTAGACACACTGTCTCTCGTCAATTACATGTCTGTGTTTTATAGACAACAATAAAGATATCTATCTAAGTTTTCGTATTATAAATATTACAATATTCCAACTGTAAAGGAACATATGTGTCTTATAATGCGTAATATAGTATCAATGTTTGTATATTTATTTTAGAACATACACATGTTTCTATACCTTGTAACATTATTATTGCAGCAATTAAATTTTTCGAATATCCAGCTTTCAATAAATTCGTTACTATATCACAGTGGTTAAAATGCAATCGTATGGACATTTTTGAAACGTATATTTTTTTTATATTTTTATTATTTTTTAATAAAACTATAAGAACCTTTAAGGCACCACAAAACCCGGCCCCTTCAGCCCCACCGCCTTCAAACACAAGGTTCTCAAACGGAAAAATGTTGTCCCCTAAACCATCATACTCGTCAACAGGAGCGTTCTCTTCTATAGCCACTGCAACATCAGAAATAGATATGTTAATTAGAGGTTATCAATTACAAATGTATATAACGTATTGTTATGTTATCCTGTATTATCCCGACAGCCTGGTATTAAGCTGAGGCATCATAGAGGTTGTGCTCCTCACATACTCGCAACAGTCAGGGCCGTATAATGTCGGGCCTAGATAGCAACCAGGCAAACGAAAAGGATTTGGAAGGAAATATAAGGAACAATGGATATCCGAAGTGCTTCAACAAGGAATCAGAACAGGACTTTTTGTCTCTGTAACGTCCTGTAAGGAGAGGACACGCGAGACTAGCCTCGAATTAGCAGGTCTAGGGCCTGTTCGTTTATGCGGAACAATCGGTTTGACCGTTTATAAATGTAACAATTTCGGGTATAAATCCTGGCGGACCTGCAAATGTTTATGCAGGTAAAGCAGCATCAGATTACTAGGTCCGACATTATTTGATAAACGAACAACTGTGGTCCGACCGGTGTGGTCGTTTAAACGAAAACGGCCATAGTCGTCGTGTGTCCCCTAAACGGAAGACACAGAGGAAACATTTGAAAGAGAGATACAAATTAGAATAGTAATAATAAGCTCAAAACGAAAATAATTTATTTAAAAAATGTTAATTAAAAATCAACACATGCTCGTTTATGTAATCCTCCGTGTTTTATTTCGGCAATTTTCAAAATAGGAACAGCTAATCCGGTTCAACTAGCGACCTAGGTACAAGAGTGATACTGTCTACTGAGCACTGCTATGCAAACGCTTGCAACACGTTTATCGATGTGTTGTTAGGTTAAATTGAACATGCTATTTGCTATATAACCAAGGTAATTACTAGGTATACGACATTCAGTGGGGGATGATGAAATAATTAACTGATCGCATTCTTCCATATTATGTTATTTGTGAAAGTGGTTGATTTCTCCGCCTTCGGGCCTTCCGCACTATTACTGTACCAATTGGTCATAAAAGGATGATTTCCCCGCCTTCCACCTACACACATTAGTACCATATTGTCAACGAGGATTTCTCCTAACCCAGCTCGTTTCCATTGTTATCAATCACAAAAAAACTCATGTTCATACGAGTATGTAAGGTAATAGGATAATTATTCATTCTCGACCGCACGACAGCTACATGTACAGTGTAACAGTCTCATGGGAATTGTGCATGTATCAAATGCAGGAGATCGATACCCTTACCTATTGCAGCAGAGAAATGAACACAGAGTTATGTCAAACTACAGCGTTTTGTACGTGGACCGGACCACGATCTATCGAAGAAAGGTTACCTGAATCTGGTTCATCCGTTGACGTCACTGATTCCATCCGCTGTGCCAGTAATTTGGCATTTTCTTTTTTCTGTTTGTCCAAGGGTGTCGTTTTTTTATCCACAGGGTTCTTTTCCTTTGGTTTTTTGGCCTCTTTGCTACCGTTGGTACCCATGCTTGAACTCTGAGCACTAGGAAATTATCAACTGAAAAATATTAACCGATAGGAAATGAAACAACCCTATTGATCTCACACACACGCGGAATGAAATATTTGCACATAAATGACTTTCATTTTATAAATATTCATCGGCTAGAACAGGGTCGACTACCTCCTGTGTTCTTACGAGGTATATTTCCGTTGCTGGTTCCACAGTCGGTAGGACTCTGACTCTATTTATCAGAACACTGACACACAGAGTGTGAACCCCCGATCTCCGCTTCTATGCTATTTTATCGATTGCTACTTTTGGTTGAACGAAATTGTTTGTGTTGGCGTCAAAGTCTAATTTGTCTACCTAAATGCAATCAAGTGTACATTGTAAACAGCTTAAAACAAACAATTGAAGATAACAAACATTTTATATTTACACATTGTTACATACGAATGACATTCATTTATTACTTAACATATACTACCTTCAATGCACAAAATACAAAATACCGTCTCTACTGTATAACTTCAGGATTCTAGGGTTGGACTTAGCATCAACCTTAAGACCAGGCTAAACATAATACTGTCTTGTTTTTATTAAACCACATACTTCCTCCAAACGTATAATCATATACCTCCTCCCGAAACACAAAATCTTATACTCCCTCCATAAATATATTTTATACTCCCTTCACACATACATATTCTTATACTCCATGTCATAAAATATTATCTTATATTCCCTCCTACCATTCATAATCTTGTACTTCCTCCCAAAACACACAATCGTATTCTCCCTCCATAATCATAATTTTATACTCCCTCCCAACATACATACTCTTATACTCTCTTCCCGCATACGTAATAGTATACTATCTCCCAACACATTTTGTATTATTCTCCTTCCCAACACACATACTCTTGTACTCCCTCCCTACACACATAATCTCATACTCCCTCCCAACACACACAATCTCATACTCCCTTCCAACACATAATCTTATACTCCCTCCAAACACATATATTATTATACTCCCTCCAAAAACACACGTGATCTTATACTCTCTCCCAACACACATAATCGTATACTCCCTCCCAACACACATACTAGTATAGTCCCTCCCAACACAAATAAACGTATACTCCCTTCCAACACACATAACATTATACTCCCTCCTTACATAGATAACATTAAACTCCCTCCCTACATATTATCTTATACTCTCTCCCAACACATATAATCGTATACTCCCTCCAAACAAACATAACAGTATACTTCCTCCCTACATCTATAATCTCATATCATACTCCTTCCCAACACATACTCGTATACACCCTCCCTACATACATATCTTTATACTCCCTCCCTACACACATAATCTCATACTCCTTCCCAACACATCATCTTATAATCCCTCCCTAGACACATAACATTATACTTCCTCCCTACACATTTAATCTTAGACTCCCTCCAAAAACACACGTGATCTTATACTCTCTCCCAACAAACATAATCGTATACTCCCTCCCAACACACATTCCCTTAAACTCCCTACCAACGCACGTAATCTTATACTCCCTCCTTACACAGATAACATTAAACTCCCTCCCTACATATTATCTTATACTCTCTCCCAACACATATAATCGTATACTCCCTCCCAACAGACATAACATTATACTTCCTCCCTACACATTTAATCTTAGACTCCCTTTAAAAACACACAATCTCATCTCCCTCCAAACACATAATCTAAACTCCCTCCCTACACACACAATCTGATACTCCCTCCCTACACACATGATATCATACTCCTTCCCAACACATTATCTTATACTCCCTCACTACACACATAATCTCATACTCCTTCCTACCACATTATCTTATACTCACTCCCAACACACGTAATCTTATACTCCTTCCCTACACACATAACATTATACTTCCTCCCTACACATTTAATCTTAGACTCCCTTTAAAAACACACAAGCTCATCTCCCTCCAAACACATAATCTAAACTCCCTCCCTACACACATAATCTGATACTCCCTCCCTACACACATGATATCATACTCCTTCCCAACACATTATCCTATGCTCCCTCACTACACACATAATCTCATACTCCTTCCTACCACATTATCTTATACTCACTCCCAACACACGTAATCTTATACTCCTTCCCTACACACATAACATTATACTTCCTCCCTACACATTTAATCTTAGACTCCCTCCAAAAACACACAATCTCATACTCCCTCCCAACACAAATAATCTTATACTCCCTCCCTACACACATAATCTCAAACTCCTTCCCAACACATTATCTTATACTCACTCCCAACACACGTAATCTTATACTCCTTCCCTACACACATAACATTATACTTCCTCCCTACACATTTAATCTTAGACTCCCTTTAAAAACACACAAGCTCATCTCCCTCCAAACACATAATCTAAACTCCCTCCCTACACACACAATATGATACTCCCTCCCTACAAACATGATATCATACTCCTTCCCAACACATTATCTTATACTCCCTCACTACACACATAATCTCATACTCCTTCCTACCACATTATCTTATACTCACTCCCAACACACGTAATCTTATACTCCTTCCCTACACACATAACATTATACTTCCTCCCTACACATTTAATCTTAGACTCCCTTTAAAAACACACAATCTCATCTCCCTCCAAACACATAATCTAAACTCCCTACCTACACACACAATCTGATACTCCCTCCCTACACACATGATATCATACTCCTTCCCAACACATTATCCTATACTCCCTCACTACACACATAATCTCATACTCCTTCCTACCACATTATCTTATACTCACTCCCAACACACGTAATCTTATACTCCTTCCCTACACACATAACATTATACTTCCTCCCTACACATTTAATCTTAGACTCCCTCCAAAAACACACAATCTCATACTCCCTCCCAACACATAATCTAAACTCCCTCCCTACACACACAATCTGATACTCCCTCCCTACACACATGATATCATACTCCTTCCCAACACATTATCCTATACTCCCTCACTACACACATAATCTCATACTCCTTCCTACCACATTATCTTATACTCCCTCCCAACACACGTAATCTTATACTCCCTCCCAACACACGTAATCGTATACTCCCTCCCAACACACATAATCTTATACTCCCTCCCAACACACGGAACGGTATACTCCCTCCCAACACACGTAATCGTACACTCCCTCCCAACACACATAACAGTATACTCCCTCCCAACACACGTAATCATATTCTCTCTCCCAACACACATAATCGTATACTCTCCCCAACACACGTAATATTATACTCTCTCCAACACACTCCCTCCTAACACGCATAATATTATACTCCCTCCCAACACACATAATCCTATACTCCGTACCAACACACATAACATTATACTCCCACCCAACACACGTAATCTTATACTCCCTCCCAACGCACATAATCTAATACTCCCTCCCAACACACATTCCCTTTTACTCCCTACCAACACACATAACAGTATACTCTCTCCCAACACACGTAATCTTATACTGCCTCCCAACACACATAACAGTATACTCCCTCCCAACACACGTAATCTTATACTCCCTCCCTCCTAACACACGTAATCGTTTACTCCCTCCCAACACACATAATCTTATACTCCCTCCCAACACACGGAACGGTATACTCCCTCCCAACACACGTAATCGTACACTCCCTCCCAACACACATAACAGTATACTCCCTCCCAACACACGTAATCATATTCTCTCTCCCAACACACATAATCGTATACTCTCCCCAACACACGTAATATTATACTCTCTCCAACACACTCCCTCCTAACACGCATAATATTATACTCCCTCCCAACACACATAATCCTATACTCCGTACCAACACACATAACATTATACTCCCACCCAACACACGTAATCTTATACTCCCTCCCAACGCACATAATCTAATACTCCCTCCCAACACACATTCCCTTTTACTCCCTACCAACACACATAACAGTATACTCTCTCCCAACACACGTAATCTTATACTGCCTCCCAACACACATAACAGTATACTCCCTCCCAACACACGTAATCGTATACACACAATCTCATACTCCCTCCCAACACATAATCTTATACTCCCTCCCTCCACACATAACTTTATACTCTTTCCCAACACACATAATCGTATACTCCCTCCCAACACACGTAATCTTATACTCCCTACCTACACACAATATCTCATATTCCCTCCCAACACACGTAATCTTATACTCATTCCCAACACATCAGCTTATACTCACTGCCAACACACGTAATCTTATACACCTGCCCAACACACATAATCGTATACTCCCTCCCAACACATGTAATCGTATACTCCCTCCCGACACACGTAATCGTATACTCCCTCCCAACACACATAATATCATACTCCTTCCCAACACATCATCTTATACTCACTGCCAACACACGTAATCGTATACTCCCTCCCAACACACGTAATCGTATACTCACTCCCAACACACGTAATCTTCTACTCTCTCCCAAAACACAACATCTCATATTCCCTCCCAACACACGTAATCGTATACTCTCTCCCAACACACATAATCGTATACTCCCTCCCAACATACGTAATCTTATTCTCTCTCCCAAAACACATAATCGTATACTCCCTCCCAACACACGTAATCGTATACTCCCTCCCAACACACATAACAGTATACTCCCTCCCAACACACATAACAGTATACTCCCTCCCAACACACGTAATCTTATTCTCTCTCCCAACACACATACTCGTATACTCCCTCCCAACACAGGTAATCGTATACTACCTCCCAACACACATTATCGTATACTCCCTCCCAACACACGTAATCTTATTCTCTCTCCCAACACAAATAATCGTATACTCCCTCCCAACACACGTAATCGTATACTCCCTCCCAACACACATAATCGTATACTTCCTCCCAACACACATAATCTAAT